CTTGTTCTGCAGAGCGGCTAACTCAGCTCTCGCCCGTGCGAGCTTTGTCGAATCTCCTTCTCTAGGACAGTCTTCCCCTTCCAGGAAGTTCGCTGCGAACTTCCGTTCCATTTCTTCCGCGGCAGTCATGATTTGCTGTAGCGTGTGAGTGATGGGGGAAAATTGCTTTCGTAACTTAGTCCTTATTATTCGGCTGCAAAGCCCATCAATGAACAAGTCTCTTCCTATTTGTTCACCTCGCTCAGTTTTTACGAACATTCGGTAGAACCGGTTCCGATATTTTGCGACGGATTCGAGAGGTTTTTGCACTCGGTCCTTGATCATATACAGTGCTTGCTCGGGGTGAAGGTAGTTAAATCGATTCATGAAATCCCGCTCAAAGGTCGGGAGATCAACCCACACATAGGTGCTAAACCAATGGTGAGCGTCTCCCCCCAATCGGGCGGGAATATTGATTTGAGCTTCATGGTCAGTATACTGTTGGGCTCTAAGTGTGGCCAGCCATGCTCCTGCGAGATGGTGTGCGGGATCAAAGAGATAAAGATCTGGTGGCGTCATGGGAGCTCGTGCACGTGGGGCGGGTTGATTTGGGGGATTAACATTCTGTTGTGGGACTGGGTTCGGCACATTGGCAGCCATATTGGCTGCTCGTCGGTTAGCCGATCTACTTCGGGTGACGATAGGGTCGCGTTTATACGCGTTCCGAGGGCGAGGTCGCCCACGGTTAGCCAGATCGCCAATTTAACGTGTTATCAATCCTAAGACCCTAGCCACGTGTCGGGCTCCGATACCAACCTCACGCCCGGCGCGACTTCCTGATCGAAGTGGAGTGTGGGCCTGGAAGTGCGAAAAGGGGTGTGCCAAGGATTTTTGGGGAAAGTTGGGGAGTCTTAAGGATATGAATGTAATTAGGCGGACGAGGGATGCGTGCGCGAGGAGCTAACGGTTCGATGGGGCCTGGGCAGTGAGGGTGGCGGTTGACGGGAAAGTTCCTCAGCGGCGGAGGCGGTCCCGAAAAGTTAGGCCGTCGGGGTCCGCCACGCGGCGCGGGCCTCCGTGTATTTGGATGGGGCCTTCAGAGTTCCGGAGTTCTCTATTCGCTGCTAAGGCGGCAATTTGCGCAAAACGTACTGGGCCAAAAGGGGGCTATGGCCGGCCACGGAACGACGCTGAGTTGATGGTATGGAAGAAGAAGGCGGAAAGGAGGGAAACTAGTGGTGATCTCAACAAATCCCGGATGGGTGAAGTAGTAGGTACGGTCGGAGGAAGGGAAATCAGAGCACCGCGGGTCGCTAGTGGTGGCACAGTG